GGCAGCGGCGCTGGGATCGTTGTGTTTACTCCCAGGGGAACTACTTCGAGGGTGATGGATGAATTTAATACCTGAGATAAGTGTACGGGTTTTTATACGCCCAGTCTGGAAACTTTCCGATCGCACCTCGTATTATAGCGCTCAGGAAGCAGACAGCTATTTAATAACAAAACGAGTTAATATAGTGCAGAGGCTGGGGGTACAAGCGCCTCAGACATCATGCTTATAATTAAGTAACATCTTCAGTAGAAATGTATTAATTTTTCATTTATGGTGTATGAAAGATGACCTCTATTACAGCGACATACATGTTTTAAACAGAATATTATGAAATTAAATATGTAGGCCTACAGTCTGAAATATAAAATTCTTCTGTATTCTTTCGCCTATTTGCAGAGTCCAGAAACTGGAATCGCAATTTGTTCACATGGCCGAGTTCAGTCTTAAACTTACTCTACCGCTTTCAAGCTACAGATGTGATGTAGCAGGGCCTGTTTTCCAAGTTATAACAACTAAATACGAATATTTTAATTTAGAAAACAAACATATTCTGCCCATAATATCGCCTGGTTAGGTTAGTCACGGTCAAAATCAAAAAACAAAAGTCAGGGTTATAAATTTAAGTTGTTGTTAAATTCCAAAACCATGCGTAATTTCAAAAAAATTGGTTTAATTTAGTTACATTACATGGAATTGCTGTCTAATAGGAAGAAATGAAGCGATAACGAAATTTGCAATAAGAAGTCGCAGCCGGAAAAATATTTTTCAGCATTTTATTTAAACTTAAATATTCCCAAAGTAATTGTATTTTAAACCTGCAGTTGTCTTTAGGTAGACGTCTGGAAAAAATCTGCTTGCATTTGGCGTACTGTACGATTAAATAGACGTTCTATTAGACGAAAAAACTACACCTTCCGCGTGGAGATATTCAGACATTATTAATTACACAATTCCTTATGAAATTTTACTTTGTCATGCATTTCATTTGTGCCGAGAAGAATGTCTGGAGCTAAGAGCGACATAATACAAGGCTGGAGAAAACTGCATAATGAGGAGTTATATAATTTTTATTCTTTACCAGATGTTATTAACGTGATTAAACCAATGAGGATGCTCCGAAACGTCTTTTTACGTTTTATATTTACTAGACGATGGATAATATCCAAGGAAATTTTTATTCGACGGAGATAGGGATTAGGTCTATCTAGTGGGCCCAACTGTGTAGGAACCTGAAGACGGAGATAGAGTCCCATCTCCGAAACGTCGTTTTACGTTTTATATTTACTAGACGATGGATAATATCCAAGAAAATATTATTCAATCAATGAGGATGAGTTGAGCAGTGCATGTAGCATGAACGGGAATGATAATAAATGCATAGGTTACATTTTTCTTCGAAACCCTGAAGGTACGAGACCATTGGAAGATCAGGCCACGATGAGAGGATAATATTAAACTATATCTTATTTAAAAGGGTGAGCGGGTGTGGACTGGGTGCACCTGGAACAGAGTAGGGACTAATGAACACTATAATGAAACAAGGCGGGGTATTATTGATTAGATGAGCGACTGTGAACTTCTCAGGTATTTGACGGCGCTGTGTCAGATTGAAATGCGATGCAATGTCAAACGAGACATTAACCAACTTCGTTTGATGGCCTTCTTGCTGTCTTCTAAGAGGTCGGTGATGCAGTCCTTGGTAGCCTAGTGTAGATAGTTTTAATAGAACCTGTCTTCATACACCACGATGAATATGGCGAAGAATGAAAGTCATCAGTAGAATATTGCTGCTGCTTTCTGTCAGAATAATTTATATTGGTTGACTGATATTAATATTCTAAGAAGCAAGGATGCATGAAGAAGGCTGTTTTCTGGGTTGTAGAAACATGTAGTCTGGTAAAATTTACCGGATTTTCAGAGGCCCCTTGTTGCCTACACTCATCACCCTGATAACGGAGGCAGCATGACCTCTGAAACGTCTGTAAACTTCTACCAGACTATAAGGCGCTACAACCCAGAAGACAGCCATCTTCAGACTCACCGCCGTGAAAACCTCAAATCCCACACACCAAGGAAGCATGTTGTGAGACAAAACCTAAGATTTGGTTCGGAATGTGTAGAGTTTGGTTGCTATTTTTGTGTGTGGTGTTTATGGTTCCATCTGAGACCAGGAACTGTTTGTTACCATTGACACATTTCAATAAATTAACTTCCGTTGGTTCATCTGCTTCCAGGCATGACGCTTGTGAATAGATCTCTTTATTTGAATTAATTGTAAGATTATTATGATTTGATCCATTAGATAAACCGAGTGTCGGTGAATGATATTTAACATGTTTGAGAAGAACCTAAATATAGTGGGCCAATTTATATGTTAATAATTTGTGGTTTATTTGTTTTAGTATTCAGAAGGAAATACTTGATGCAAGATACGTTTCCGTCCGAATGTTGGAGACTGACTTAACTGTTCCGGTTTTTAGAAGACAGTCATTTTATTATGTATATCCTCAGTCACGGGTTTGGAATTTGCAATATATAGGCCAAAACAATTACCGGATATTTATTTTACTATAAAAACAACGAATCTAAGAACATATTTTAGAATAAATTTATATGGACTTGCAAATGAGATAAATAATCATTAATTATGTTAAACCTGTTATCTTAAAAAGTTTTCTGGTACATTTGAAGTTCAGTTGATTGTTAGAAAGTAAATTAATTGTGTAGGAGTACTTGCTAAATATTTATCTTCCCGTTTTACGAAAGTTCACTACTATATACCGCATATCACTATTCTTTTGTTTCTTGCTGAGCCACTTAACAGCGCCTGTCTTAGAACCCCATCATCACAGAGGAAGTAGTTTTTTCCAATTGTCTGTTCGAGTGGACGATTATAGTCACTTGAAGGCAAGTGATGAGAATACAGAGAATATTGTAACCCTTCAAAATGTAGATTTTAACGGTTTATATAGTGTGAAGATGGATGCGGTGCTACAAACATGATCATTTCGAGAGCAGTTCTCCACGTTTGGTTATAATTAGGGATTTTGTTTGATATCGATAAATCGATACTAAACAGGATCTTAAAAAAATATTCGGCATAGATGTATCGCTCAATGCTTTTATTATTTATAAAGAAATACGGTGTTAACGAGATGAAATTTAAATACCAGAAGGAATGATTATCCTTACTACTACTGTTTCTGATACTACATCCACTACTGTTAATAATAATAATAATAACTATACATATTTTTTTCCGTTTCAGCAATGGAGAAGGAAAAATATAGACAACCGACAATGAAACATCACCTGATCTTATCACTGACATGTAAACAGAACTTCTTAAATAGTAGTGTAATTTTACATTACATTGTAAATTGGTCGGGAAGCCTGAAGACTTCTTGTACTAATTTAAGGCAATATAAATAGTACAGATGTCACTTCGTGAGCGTTTTATTCGTTGTTCGCATTTTTACATTAACGATAAGCCATTGATAAGAGTTTCATGTAAAATTGCTGTTTTAACTGAGATGGGTCGTACATATTTGCGGCATTGATCTTTGCTGCTAACAGTTGTCACTCTGTTCAAATTGCACTCCGATGCCGCTGATTGGCTTTGTGTACGTACGATAATGGTATTCTGACAGTTTTGTTTCATGGTTAAATTGGAGTTTGTGTATTTGAGTGAAATTCCTCTTCGGCATCAAAAATCTTTGCATGAAACCAGCATTGTGCCTTTCTTCAAAGGGTGACGGGGAGTAGACAGACATGTTCTTTTCAAATTCATTGTTTTATTTTTCCAATTTAATTAAAACGAAATCATATTCTAGGATTCGAGGATTTTTTTAAGTCGGGAACTAAGTACGACACAAGAACGATGCCATGACTAAAATTGTTTCAGCGAGAGTATTACAGGAATAGAAGTTATAAACGAGATAGTGTCCTGCGCTCGAGTCCCGGTGAATACAAGAATCAGTGATTCTATTGTTTTGTAATAATTACTTATGGGAATTTGTCTAAAATGACTTAATTAAACTAAAATGACAACGTACCGGCGTAAACTGTAAAATTTTTGCGAAGTTGAAATACTAGTGAATCATTATGGGTCATTTTCACATATCTGATAGCGTTGTTAATAATGTTAATCAGCATTGTCCTTAAGATGATCAAATATTGCCTCATGTGTGAGTGATTTTTCTATTTCAGTTTAAAATGAATTTAAATATTACACAGTTTTGTTAAAATATAGTCTTAAACATAAATAACAGATACTAGAAGTTAAAATTGGATTCTTTGATAAGAAAGAACTGGCCAAATATCCTCACAATAACACTGTGGCACTCTGCTAGTTTAATAAACAGTTAAACCAAGTTAGAAAAATGTTCCATGTTGCGTTTTATGCTATATAGATAACAACAGACGAGTTATACATCCAAGCTGTTATGACGATACTGTGTAAGAATTAAGCTTTCATGTACGCTAAGAACAGTCATCTGAAGCAATGTATAACATAAGGATTGGGGGTAACACTGCAGTTTGGTATAATGAATTCTTCTCGGGCTACCAGCAGGTGTTTTTTCCATTAAATCATGATGTTTCCCGCGTTCGTGTACGGAGTTTCAAATGATTCCAACCGATAGCGGAGCTGTTACAGTCGCCGTGAAAGCTACAGATCATACATACAACAGAAGTTTGGGTTTGTCCATTGCCTGATATGTTTCATCCACGTTTTGGGAGTTCCCTCTACAAAGAATAAAACAGGATCTCTGGGAAATAGCCTATATTCATCACAATAACAGAACAGGCCATCAGCCGGAGAGGCCAAAATGTAAGCTCCTTGTAGGAACTAACAGGTGACACCCAGGTACCTGAATACGAGATTAGAGCCGATTCCAGGAACGTCGTGCAGACATCTTTATTTCAGTTTTGGTTTATTTAACTAACCTGTCAGTAATTCAGCGTCAAATGATGACTAATGAATTATTAATTTAAGATTATGTAAAATGAAGCGATCAAGGCTTGATTTTAGATGCTCTCTTCCCATTTTCCTGGAGGAAGTGAAGAAAATCATAAAAAAGACTTCAGTCAGAATAACCGGTCTACGGGCTGAGATTTGAACCCATGACCTCCCAAATATGAAAAAGGTGTGCTAACTTGTGATATTCTGTATCGTGTACCTTGTGGGTACACCTCGATTTATGCCACACATCGAAAGAAAAGTCGCATAGTGTGTAGTCGAATGAATCGAAAAATTAATATCCCTTCCCCTCGCTTTCCTCCTCAGCCATTCAATTAATACTGTACTCCTCCTCCTCCTCCTCTTCCCCTCCTCCTCCTCCTCCTCCTCCTCCTCCTCCTCCCTACCTCGCTCAATCGGCGAACAAAAAATTTGCTCTAAAGCGAATACTGTTAATTGAAGTCGATCTAAATTAATTGATCTTATTAAAATGAAATTACATTTTTCTAACACGAGTTTTATGGGGTTACCCGCGTATGAAGCAGGCAGACAGTGGACAAGTCCAACATAATACTGAGACGTTCGCTGTAAACAATGCTGAGCAATGTGTTGTGTGTCCTAGGGCCAGTGAACACCAGGAAGAGAGGGCGCTGGCATTCGAGAGCGCGGGGTTTCTTCATGAGAGTATTTGCCTCGCTGTGTCTCTGCAACTCCAACGGCGCCAAGGGATCGTAATGGCGCGGATCTGCACCACGGCGGAATGAAGAAAAGTGATTTTTACTAAGATCGCTTTTTATGCTGGCTGTCGTAATGGGAACAGTATTTCCGGAGCTATGAAGTTGCATGTTGCACGGTTCGGACGCGACTCTTAATTTTACATTTATTTTTGATCTGTTGTGTATCTGACATTTCTGACGATTAACATGTGGGGCATATTATGTCAAAAGCCGACACAGACCATGGAAGTGTTTTAGTTTTGTTAGTAAATTGAGTTGTCTATATTTCTAAAGCCGTCTAGATTCTCATCTACTATTTAAGGTAAATATGTTGTAATTTTTTTCAGATACCTGGAGTAATTTATTTTTGTTGTGTACACCTAACCAAAATTAGCGTTATTGTGAATATCTAACGATATTAATAATTAATTTCGTCTTTCCCATTCTACGCTCATTTTCTCGTGTTATGTAGAGTCGACAAACCTGCAGGTGTTTTATGTAAATACCATTTATGTACATTACGTTGTTTACTTACGCATCGTGAAACGACTTCCTTAAATTTGGCTCTAATGAATCAAAATATAGGCTATAATTTGGAAGGTCTTACCCGGGTTCCACGACGCGATGTACTGCAAGCTCAAATGTCTCATTATCATTTAATACACTTAGAGGTTTGAATTGTGTCATCCCTCGCCAGTTTCCTGCCTGTGAATTTCCTCACCCACTGGAAATTAAATATGTTTAATACATTTCAGAAGGTAATAATATCAAGTTTTCTCAGGACTTCGTTTTATTTAAAACTGGTGGAAATTCTGTAAACCATTAATACCAAGAACCAAAAGTTCACATTGCAAGGAAATTTAGCATCACGTAACCAGTTCATATTGTTGCCCTAAATAGATCCGTGTGTGTAAGAATTTGATTTACGTCCTATATTTCCTAGTTTCTCTCCAGTTATCAATCAAGTAGACTACATTTTCTCCTAGGCTAGACAACCCACTTTGGCATTTTATAACTTTGCAAGAAGGCGGTCAGCGATGTTTGACGGTATCTGTAGGCGGCGGAATGTGTCTGTATAGACCAGTGGTATTCAACCTTTTTTGTTCGCTTACCCCCCAGATATAATTTCTCTTCCAACTTTGTACCCCCAAAGATGTTGGTGTAAAATTCAAGTTATACATAGTATATAATCTACATCTAAAGCAAATTAAATAAATTACATTACTGAATATTCAGTGTTTATCATAAAATAATATATATATTTTAAATTTCACGTACCCCCTAAGATGTCTTCGCGTACCCCCGGGGGCACGCGTACCTCAGGTAGAACATCACTGGTATAGACAATGTTCACATGCCATTAATAAACTATTGTTACCCCACTTCGAATAGCATCTGGACCACCAGCTTTTACCTCCTATGAATGACCCATTTTTCTCGAACATTTTATGTTTAAACTTTATAAAAATAAAATCACGCCAACATTCAGCATAGACAACTTTTATTTAGATAATATAATGTAATTATTATATACAAAGTTAAATTTGTTTTCTGTATGTGATCATCGCGTTATATTGGCAGAAAAGCGAGGTTCGTGTTGCTTACAAGTAGTACTCTACCCTTAATACGTATTAAATAAAAGGCGAAGAGTCTCAGCCGTTTTCGGACGTTGTAATAAAAAGAAATAATTCTCAAACCCCGCCGGGAATTGAACTTTAGCCAAATGCCAGATTAATGCTCGTTCCCGTTTGGACCTTTGTGTTAATACCGTTTAGTTGTAATTATTGCAGTTCATGATTTTATTTACTTGAATGTATTCTACGTCCGTAGTGAGACATCCTAAAACTTTGAGAAAGTCTGGCGCAGAAAAATTGTCGACTGTGAATAAAAATAATGATGACATGTAAACAGTTACCGCACCACGCCATCTGTACATCTGTACCTCGTTTCTTAAAACCACAAAAATTGTATCAAATTTAAAATTTTTATGTTTTACGAAGTGAAAGCTGTTTACTACAAAACACCTCAACCCCCAGTGTGTGTATTGTGTACCTGAGACAATTGACAGTGTATATTGACGATAATAATAATAATAATTGATCATCTACTTTAGAGGATCATTTTACAGTGTTTTTACAGTACACCAGAAGGTATATAAGCTGCAAGTAGACCTACAAAGTAATCTAAGAACTTTGTACCCATTGAAGAAAACTGGCCCATTTTCTCAGCTGAACCCAGTTTGGGCAGCAAGATCTATCCCCATTATCTGGTGGCGTCAACACCGTTTGGTGTGCGTGATGTGAGGGTCCTTTAGTTAATGCATTGCCGAGATACCACCCCACTGCGTCATGGGAAACCACTGTCCTTCACGTTCCAGGGCGATGGGTTTGTTTTGTTAGCTGGCGATAGTTCGAGGTTTATAACTTCCCTATCGGTCCTTCCGGGATTCGAACCTCAAGATTAATTGGTGGAGGCCCAGACCTGTTTCATCTACCCCTTTGATATAAGGTTAGGCCGGAATTTTTGGATTACAGGTGCTGATTTCTCGTATAAATTAACTATAGGGTCTAAGCTGTCAGATTTACATTATGTTTCAATATGAGTGATTATTATGACTTCCTAAATTAATTACATTTGCATTTAAACTGACATGCTTATCGGTCACCATTTCTACAGAAACCCCGGTGTACATGAATGTGGTTCTTAGTCCTACACAATAAACACTGGTAATTGAAAGCAACAGAATAATTACTACATTTATAAGACAAAGATTAAACATTAATTAACTACTATTGTGCTAGTTAGCTGAAATGATCGACTCTTGTTAGATTGATTGTTGTTCTGGACGATACATTAATTAGTCAATTAATCAAGGGTTGAGTTAGTATGTACAATGTCTGAATCTTTTCCGGGCTTCCACTTCACTCGTCTCCCCAACTCCTTCCAGTTACCTGCTGATTTCTCACGTGACTTGTTCTTCGTCGTGAATTCACTGTGGTCCTTCCAGAAATGTTTATAAGGGGAACGTGGGGTCACTGACCACTGCTAATTATGCGGTCATCGAAGACCTACAGTACATCCAAACTTATATACGTCATATGAGCTATTGCAGAATTCAGCTCGAAAACACTGTATAGCCTTTTTTCTTCTGTTAACTCGGCGAGAAATTGGCTTTGGATGTTGTTCACGTACTTGGCAGGATTAACTGTATTGTAAAAGATCCAGTTATCCTGAGTGAATTTATCGCATGCCAAACACAATTCTTTCCATGAGAAGGAAGTTTGTGAACAAATCTTGTATTTTACGCATTCCAATTCCAATTATGTTGAGAATTCACCTCTCCGCGTAAGGAAAACCAGGCATTATCGGAAAAAACACATTGTGCATCAACTTCTCAGTCCGTCATGTCATTCCAAAGAAACCAGTTACAAAAATTTATTTTCCCAACCAGATCGTGTTCCTTCAAAGCAAGAATTACAGTTGTCTTATATGGTCGCGGATTTAAAAGTTGTTTTTCTTTGGCCCATAATGTAGGTTTTATTGAAAAGCCTTTCTCCGCTAGTCGTTTAAGAAATTTTCTTAGTGAAGATTCAGATCCAGCACCTATGTTCTCCAATATCGATTCTATCAACACAGTTCGTTTTCTATCTGACTTTTTGCCTGGCAATGATTTCGTTTTTTAAAAAAAAATATTGACCAGGTTCTCCTGGAAGTTTGCCCAGAATTTTTTTATACATATTCTGACAGACTATTATTTGAGATACAGTTGTACTAAACACACCCGCTGTTCAATAGTATACCACACTCAAGCCATGTTGTACAGCACTGAATTGTTGATCGATAAATCCGTTAACAGAGTTAAACAAACGCAATGATTCATGGCGGACGTGTGGTGTTACCGTCTGGTACTGCTGCATAAACGCGGCAGACCGGGGCATGGCCGGCCGCCTCCGCGGCAGCGGCTTCTCGGTCAAACAGGAAGTTGTTTACTCGGTATGAAGGCTGAGTCCAGGCTTCTTTTCCATCCCATCGCAGTACACAATGTTACAACACCACTAAATGTGCTCCACCAGTCGAAAAAACTGAAATCTTGTTTGTTCGATCTACATTGCGTCTATGAAGTATTGTTGGAATCAAAGTGTGATGCTGTTATTGTGCATTGTGCCGCCAGAAGAAGCAGTATCATATGTCCAAAGTGGCACCGTAGGCCTAGTCCTAAAGCTGTTTATGTGACCGGTAAAAGAACTAAGTTAACTCTATGGTATATCGTCTTTAAATTTATTATAATTTAATTTGTTTTACAGATATAATAGATACATTTAGACATGCTAATTCAGAGTTCCTTTTGCATGCCCGTATACCTACTTGTTTCAACTATTATCAATTTAATATAACAGTGTGCAGTACAAGACAATATATAAAGTGATTAAAAATAAAAGTGTTATTGTGTGTAAAATTCTATCCACTGCTTGGGCTATAGGTTATGTGTTGTGTTAGGAAAGACGTCATTACGAACATAACCTATTCTTAGGTAACAACATGCAGTAGAACATCCCTGTCTAATTATATCACGGCTCAACACAGAAATCGTTATTTGCATTGCTCCCAGGAATATAAACGTAATAAATGTTCAATGTTGAACCATGGTAACGCCTTCCAAACAGCCTCCGTTTTATTGTTCGTGAGTGTTGCTGTAGCCTTCGGTCTTCTTCGTTGCTGGTTACTTTATGAACAAAAGAGAATTCATGTTGTAGGAGCCATTCATACTTCGTAAGTAATAAGTGTGCTGGAAGATAGCAATCCATGTTTGTCCTGTGTGTCACAAATTTGTTTTAACCAGGTTGAACATACTGGGTAATTATAAACTTACAATACTTATAGTAATTACAGTAATTATAAACTTTCACGTCGAATACAAGTGATAAAATCTTCTCGTGTGGTCAACCGCGTCAATTCGAAAGAAAAATAAAATTATTCGGTGGCCGTCTGTCTCCATTATCAGGGAACGTGACGATTAATTACCAAATTGGTCTGTACATGTAGAGATTCGCATATGAAATAATTGTGGTCGGAGTTAAATCTCAGAATCTTGGAACTTAGTTCTCCTTTACCTGGAAACCGATAAACAGTAGTTACGCGTCACGTAGTTATTTGATGGCGGAGATAGACGTAGTATGCGAAACGTTTGAGTTTTGCTCCGAATTGACGCGAATAATCGCTCAACAATATTCTATATATGTATTTAACACCTTTAAACAATTTTGACTTTATTAAAATTACGAACGAGAAAATATTTAAATTTTATATTTTAAAATGATTTTATATTGCTTTTTTGTCTAGAAATCAGACTCGTGTACCCTGGAAATGAATTAACGGTTAATCCCATGGCCGCGAAATTCATCTGACGAAACCCAATTGGACGTTTGTTACGTGGCCTCGTTGTGTGACGCTTTCTGTGCCAAGCAGCATTAAAACATTGATTGTTCGTATTTCAAGAGCTATAAAACAAGCAGAAGAGGGCATGCTTAGCAGAATGTACCGAAATTAACTGTCGTCGAGACATCGGGTATGTTTCCAAAGCAGCACACACAGAACACTGCTAAAACAAACTTTAAGATTTACACTGATTTTCGTGGTGGCTGTCATTTTGCACGTTTCACATCGCTGCCTTCAACAGAACCAGAACTTCTCATTTTTAAAGTTTATTCTGTAAGTTTATACTTATCCTGTACTAAATTGTGACAATACAACTATGAAGTTTTAATTCTTTAATAGTTATGATTTCATGTTTCAAGGGATGTAACTAAATGACTTGGCCGACATGTACTTCCAGTAGACAATATTCCGTTTGTAATTCTTGGCCGAATTTGTTGGTCATAAAGTGTATAGATTTCAGAAACATCAGTTTATGAAGTGAAAAGAACTTTATATTTTGTCGTCAGTGAAATTTAAGGATGTGGTACCATCAAATTACAAACACAGTGAAAAAAAATTGTCAGTGGAACCACGGTTCCGGAGAATTTGACGTAAATACGTCTATACGGAAAGGAAGTTTATATATTGGCTTTATTCTATTATGTAATGTAACGTTTCCTAGGTAACAATAATGCCGAGTAAACAGATGACGTTTCCTAGGTAACAACAATGCCGAGTAAAGACGACGTTCCCTAGGTACACTTGTTACACTTTTTCGTTTCCTTTTTTCGTTACACTTTTTTGCCGAATGACCCTTCCTTATAGACGTATTTACGTCAAAAAAATTGTTTGTAACTAACGTTTTTATTTCCTTGAAAATGAAACGTTTACGAAATACGTATGTATGGAAACATTGATACTAATCCACAATGTTCACTCGCTTTTACACGTTGGTAGTTATCAACGTTGTGCATTCTGGAGTGTGTATGGTATTATAATTAAACTCTGATTTGTAAAGAATAATGTATGCTGTGTGTCTGGAAACACATTGGTCCCTTGCCAATGCACACTAACCTACATGTTCTGTCTGTACAATCACGCCATTGATTTCTATTTCAGATCAAGTATTGGATAACAGTTTATGATAATTGAAACAGAACATAGAACGAGGAATGTTTTAGTTCAACTTTTTCTTCTGTAGTTGTTATTTCCTATTACAGTAGAGTCTCGATTATCCGACATTGCCTCATCTTCTAAATTCTGTGTACTCGGTTATTATAGACGTACTAATAGTTAGTCGCTGGCGTGACCTTGCCGCAAAGAAAAGGAAGGAGGCTCAGAAGCAAATACCCATTGCTACTTTCTTTGAAAAAATAACTCTTTAATTTACAAATTTAAGTTATGTTTAATTTCTTTTTAGATTTTTGACATTTTCGATTATCCGACTGCACTTCGACCCTGTTTAAAACAGATAATCGAGACTCTACTGTATTTTAATAAGAGTAGCAACAGTTACTTTGAATACGAATATGATAATTATTGTTTTACTGTGCTACGCAGCAATGTGCAAGTTTTTGTTACATTCAATCGATTATTATTCTCTGTGTGTGAAACAACAGGGACCAATGAAATACGCACGAGTGGTACTGGTCTGACAGTACTGTAGGTATCAATCAAAGCTGGACCAATGCTAGTATAATGTAGTATGTTTATATCATGACTCATTGTGGTCATACAGGTGCTTACTGGTGATTTTTGTAAGTGTACATGAGAGTATTTTGATGGTATGATTGATGTGATGTAGTTTGTTGTTTCGATATTCGCTGGCGGAATGCGTAAATCTATTCAAAGAGTTGTCTGCTCTTCCAAAAGATAGAGGCAGTTTGCAGGTGGGTCGATTAGTACAAGAAACTAGTCTATTGACAGATTTGTTGTTCAAAATTTGACATCAACTGTCGATTGTTCTAAAAATGTCATTACTCCTGACGTAATTAAAATAAGGATCTAAGATTAAGATGAGGACTTAAGTATATACAGGGTGACTCAGAGAACAGCTTTCGAATAGGAATCCATGTATTCCGAAGTTATCCTGAGTCAGTCGAGGCCATTGAAGGTAGGGAAGTCTGATAACATAGCCCTGAAATAATAGTACTTTGCTATCCTCCTACTAGCTTAATTTTGTTTTTTATTAATGTACAAGGATTACATTAGCAATCTTACAAACCAAATTATTTGAGCGGTATGTTATCAATGGCCTCAACTGACTCAGGATAACTTCGGAGGACATGGATTCCTATTCGAAATTTGTTCTCTCTGAGTCCCTCTATACACTCCTTCAGTTTGGCCCTAACCTTTTGAATCACCCTGTATAAACGTGAACGGTTACTAATAACCAGAAAGCAAAGGTTTTTAGAATGTTCACATATGCTATTTTTTGCTTTGAATTGTATTGAATGGATTAACAGAATTCATTCTAGCTCAAAATGTAACTTACATAACATAAGATTATTTTTCCTTTACGAATTAACTGTAACTTTGTCTGAATCACTTTCAGGTGTTGTGAAATTTTCACAACAAAAACAAAATTGGATTGAACTAACGTCATTATTCAGTTATTGTTGGGTAAATTGGCGCGTGCGGTTTCAATCAAACGGCCCCGTGGAAGGTGAGCGTTTGAATGATTTTCTTGTGGTTGTCTTTTGTTTTAAATCCTTGCTGACACCGTGTAATCTGATTAATTTAGTCCTCAGCACATTTACGAGGTTAATATTGTTTGAAATTAACCCCATAAACGAGATTTTGCGAAAATAACACAAGTAGAATTTGTTTTGTCTGTAACTTACAGTTGTCTCCTTCCTCCTGCACATAAACTAAATTATAATTATAATGTATGTATACTTCTTAAATATTTTAGTGAAGTAATTAGAAGAATTGAGTTTGTGGTACGCGATTTATTTATCGATTTATTGACTGATTCTAAACTGTCGATTAATTGATAAATGCAGTGTCTTTCTTTTTTCTCTCGCTTTATAATCGATCGACTGCCCCATAAAACATGCTACTGCTATGTTTATTTCAGTTCGTGTGTTTATGACAGGAGTCTCTTTGGGTAGTAAATACGTGGCCCTGCCATACGCCTTGTTCTATTCTTGTGTTATGATGAGTTATACAACTGCATGTAATTAACATTTGGTATATGTAAATCAGCTTTGTTGCATTTATATTTCAGCCTGTCTGACGTAACCTTATTTCAAAGAAATTAGTTTACAACCGGCAAACAGACAGTTCGATGTTCATACCTCAGTGATTTCTTATCTGACAGGATATCCATTACCCACCATGCATCTCTGCAGACAGTAGAACAGAAAAACTTCGTACCATGTCCCGTTTGTAAGTAAAGCATAAGAATATACATACATGTTCTGGACCAATGCAGAATAAATTTCTTTCCTGTAATTATAATATACTACACTTTTGGGAGAGATTATTCACATAAAAATTTATAATTAAAATTATGAGAAATTTCTAACCGATGTATTTTCTTCAATAAAATGCACAGTATTATATGAAACGGTAAAGTACATCTAGTCAGCGAACTGAATACTGAGAACGTTTGGTTTGTTGGCTGTTGGTTTATTAGTTAGGGCCATTAATAGGTAATGCAAATTCGCAAGTCTCGCGGAAGTGATTCACGTTCGATCATAATTATGTGAACATGTGAAAATTTCTTTCTTTCTTTCTCTCAGCCTCTTGTAACCGTAGGTATCGAGGTTTTTATTTATTTGATTAATCTATTTGTACAGTGGATGAGTGATAAGCCAGACGCAAGGCCTCTACCTATACAAACACAGAAAGACGCGGACAAACATCCATGCCTTGAGTGGGACTCGAACCCGCGGTCCCAGCGGCCAGGCACACGAGATCCATGCCTCAGACCGAGTGGCCACTGCGGCCGGCACATGTGAAAACAAAACATCAAAACATAACACACGTGAATAAAATTCGATGATGAACTTGTGTGTGAGAGAGGAATTTTAATTAACGAAAGATGAGCTATTGCCCTATTATAAATACAAAGTGCGAATTTTGGCCACAATGTCTTATAAAAATTCGTGGAACACTTAAAACCTTGTAGCGACACAACGGTTGTTGAGTACTGGCGTATGTTGATAGCTGTCGACGTATGTTTATTATAGTGCCATTCGCTAAAGTGGTAAATTGAAAACATAGGATGAAGTCCATATAGTTTATTTATTTATTATATGTAGTATACGTGTAAGGAAGGTTTTTATGTTGTGGGATGTTTCAAATATTTGAATTGATATTATTCTTGTTTGTTGATAAGACGAAATCATTTCCTCTCGCTAAAGGCTGCAGGTTTTGAGCAACAAAACCAGTGCAGTGTTTATGATCAAATAATGCAGGTACTTATCTAAGTTCTTTTGAAACTGTTGTCATTTGTTGCCCCTGGCAACTAAACGCGATGCTCTATCAAGTATTTTGGAGACCGGGTTCTCTAAAAAGAAATCAGTTATGATTCTTTATATAATAATCAGTATTATTATACAAATATTTCATATTACTACAATTGAATTTAAGCACTTGGAATATTTTGTACATTAGCCTAACATGTTTCGACTTAATTTCACCATCTTCAGAGGCGTCATCTATATGTGAAGTATTAAAGATTTACATTAAATGCCTACATTAATCTTAAAATTAGTACAATGTCCTTAATTTGATTAGTTTAAAACGCTAAACATGTCAGTTTATTACATGTTTTCTTATATATAATTGCTATTTTTCTTGATTTAAAGTTTCTTTATGCTTTGTTTTCCTGTGGTATGTATAGGCCTGTCTCGTGTTTGCCGCAAATATAACGTAATGTAGTTTTATTATAATTGTTTGGATGATTTCATTTAACTTGTAAATTATATTAATAATTTCTGACCTAAGTTGATACCTACTTATTGATATGTTATCTAGTATTTAGTACTTGCTTTCTGATGTATTACTAACGTAATTTGCTTCCCTATTGTTCCTTTCATCTGTTTGAATTACGTGAATGGATCGGCCATAACATGAAACCTGCGTACTACATACTCAGGATTGTGTTCCACACTAGAGTCACTTTTCCACAAAGTCGCCACTCACATTCAGACATTTACTTATCCGACCGGTTTAACAGTTTATTGATTCCATCTTGGAAGAACTGGGTGCCTTCTGCCTGGAGCCATGCCTGTATTGCTTGCATGACCTGAAAATCCGGTTAGAATTGACGACCAGGGAAACGTTCTTCAATGGTAGACACCGGAGCCACATCGGGACTGTAAGGTGGATGACTGTGAAGAATCTGACACTCGTGAGACGAGTTTCAAACAACCAGCACCTTGGGATGTCAAGGAATTCCCGACTTACACTGTGACAACTTAACGACGAGTTTACTCGAGAAATCCATTTGACAGGCAGAAAACGAATCATTGATCGAACTTCACTACAGACCACTCCTGCAACGGTAACACCAATTCAAAACAGCTGTTGTGGCTCTCTTCATGCAACTATTGGCACCTATTGACTATAATGTGGACCTCTGTCCTCCGGGTTTATGTTGTCACGTTCAATATTCAGATCCAAATGTAGACATGTCTGAAATACATTCATAAAAGTAGCTCTGCGTTTTGCCCTCGTATCTCGAGACAAGGTCCACAGATTTGAAATCACCAAGGATTTTCACCAGTGGGGCACAGTGAAGCATCTTATATGACGTCAAACTATTTTCTAGGAAATTTAATCCATTCTGTACACATTTGACGACGTGTATTCGCCAGTTCGGATTATAAAGCCCAGATGTGCATGGATGCCAGTGGCTACCACGTTCAGCATCTGATGTGACGCGGTGCAGTTTCACAAGAAGTAAGATTTATAGGCCTAGTTACAATATTATCATCGTTATCAGTGCATAAATAATGGCTTATTGCCGAAGGTCTGAAGCCTGTAGCGAGAGAATGGGTCAGATATTAATGTTTCACTCTACTTCTTCGTCTTTCCTTGTGAGCGTCTACCTAAAGTGTATAATAATATGTCATTAGCTCACGTGTCTTATTAGATGTCGGTGCGAGTCCGCTGAATTCTTCCACTTTGTCATGGAAAGATCATGAACAAATGGACAGACGAGGAAACGTATTAATATCAAGCAGTAAATGCCACATTTTTAAGGATTTATAAAATTATGTAATTGTTTTAGTATGATGTTGATTTGCGATATCTTTTCGGGAAGTAAAAAAATTGAAAATGTACATCGGGGTAGAAATATTCTTTGACTCATACCTACACAATTTAATTTTTCCTTAAAACACAGAGATTCAAGAGGAATTGGTAGAACTTTTAAAATGAATTCCTCAGTATCACTTATAGGTGTATTTTGTACATGTCATTATCTGACCCATAATAGGGGGTCATTGGTGGACTTCTGTGAACACAGTAATGGATAGTAATATTCCGTAAAAGGTGAGAAATTTCTTGAACAGCAATTCATTTATCGGCTTTCCAAGAATAATTTTGTTCCATGGAGTTCGTTGGCTGACTAGACAGACGCCCAACATTTACCAGGAAAACCTGTGAGGTACCGCTGTGTCTGAAACACATGATAGTTGATTCATTGGTAATATAATAATTCTGTATCAACTCTGATAGTTAACCTTTAGCGTCTAATGAGACTAATCGTTATGCGCTGTAAAAATTTGGAATGCGAGGTTTGTGATCAGTTTTACTACTTTTGTCAGGCATTCTCTCGGAACTACTGAGGAGAGCCACGAATGAATTCTGTATAACCGGAGGTCCAACAGACTGGTATCGAACACAGTTCAAGCGTGATGGCGCTGAGCCGGTCACGTCGATCGTAATGAGGTTGAAAAGGAGAGAATGTTAGGTTAGGTTTCATTGCAACAGTTCTTATCAATGTATGTTATATTGCGTTCTATAAGGAGAATATCACAAACTGGCTATATTTATGTTATATTTTCTACATCAGGTCAGCGACCGGGATCGAAGCTAATAATCAAAATGCCAATCAAGAAATTTCTGAAACCCGAAGAGCCCAGAATAATTCACTGGTTAGTCCACACACGCGGTTTCTTTAAGACATGTTTGAATATTCTCACGTCTACGCCAAGGTGTCTGAAGTGAATTTAAAATATGAACACAAAAGTCGGCAGGCATACCCCAGAACGGTGGGAACGGATCGTGTGATGACGGGAGCAAAGCCAAACCACATAAACGTGTATGTTAATATTCCTTGGACAGGTTTACACCATGTTTTCGCTTCTGTCTGGCTCTTGTACTTACTAGCAGACCTCATAAGTGGAACACCAGGCTACTGCATACTAAGCGTACAATTTGGGGTTAGACAGCGTCATAACGTGCAATATCAACTGCATTTATCCTTGGGTGCACCGAACCTGTACTGCAAGATTCCACGACTCTAGACAGTCTTTCTCCTTGTGCCTAGGATATATTGCCTCCTTTGGTAGCCTTCTCCCATGTAAATAAACTACTTTAATAGAGATTTTGGTACTGGTGCAAAACCAGTTTTATCGAAATTATATATTTTTCTTTGTTTTTGTCGGTACAAATTTGTGTTTGTCTATCTCCTCACTAGATAAAGAAATTTTGAAAATATACGCATAACGTAACACATAGGATTTGAGACTTTCGCCGCTAGTACAATCAATAAAATCTTCTCGGGCAATCAGCCGCATCAACTGGTTACCGTATTAAACCGACGTTTCGGGACAGTTGGTTCCCGAAACGTCGGTTTACTACGGTAACCAGTTGACGCGGCTGATAGCCCGAGAAGGTTTCATTGATAACGTAACACGTTTGGCACGTTTTATGGAATTTGACCTTTGTGAATGGCCAGGAATTTCTAGTTTGATCATCATATGTGGTTTAGTGATCAGCGTACTGGCATGGTATTTAGAATGTCCCGAATCGATCCCAGCCGTTGCTACAAATACAAAAGAGCCAGTCTGGCTTTCTGCACGTTCGGCCCTTTTTTCTGCTGTAACTGAAGCGCATGTATATAGTCGGCTTCCTCCCCCCCCCCAAATTTGAGGTGATAATCTCCTGATGTTGACAGCCCTTGTGACGTTGAGTTAACTCGATATTTTCCATCGTCCGTCTCTCCTCACTGTATTTTTTTCAGTTGTCCTCCACTGTGCCATTGTATTACCCACTTCTCTTACTTTGATTGTGGTTTCTTACTTTATAAATTACTTAGCATGCATAACGGACATATCAAAACATCATAACCAAAATGTGTCGTAATGAAGCTGTAAAATTATAAATGCTTCGATTGAATTTGGACTTGGAACGCAACCCACGTTATTTCTTATGGGAAATTCGTGTTCTTCTAATACAATTTCACTTCACTTTATACGAGCCTTTACTGAGACGAAACTGTCGTGTTAGTCAGGAAGTATATTTAAATGACTGATCTACTTCTGACATGTATTTATAAATATTACGTCTTACCTCGAATGCATAGACTTACTAAGTTTCTCAGATGGATCGAGATAACATTTTGTTGGTGATCCTTGCTATACAGCATTGAATCGATTTCCGAAGAAACAAATAAAAATAAATAAATCACTTGCAGCATCGATAACCACAAGTATAAATATAAATCACAATGATGCGGAATTTGGTTCATGATGAAAAAGTATCATCACTTAAAAGATAACAATTTTTATTTGAAATTAGTTTTTAGTTACTGGTAACATTATATCATCTAATAAAATGGCATTTTGGAGTTTGGTTTTATTATGAAGAAATAACAACAATGTATTTATTTTAATATATGTGTAAGTTCTGTATTGATTCCATTGGAGAAGAATACCTAGTAAAATACATTGTAATTCAGTAGCCACTAATGAGAAAAAGAGAGAGAGAATTTCTACAATAACATCCTGAAGACCCGCTGGATGGAAACACGGTGTTATGATTGTAATACATGACCATCCTTTTATACTTTGTGCAGACGGTAATAGAATACGTAACTCTGCTGTAGACCAGCGCTGGTGTTGGACTGGAAAGACCCGAAGTTCAGTAATATGATAACCGCGGATGTAAGCTTCGTAGTAATTTGATGACAACGTGAGACAACAGGTATGGACCTCCGGCACTTCGACTGCCAGAGGTCATTACTCAGGTCTGTGCTATGCAGTTACTTAAACAATTAATCATGTTAAAAGTTACTGGAAAAACCCAGCTACAACAAGATCAAAAGCTAAATGTCATGCGGTCGTGTCGAGGAGGTCAGTACTGAAATACGGTAACGATAATGCTAATAGTTTTATCAAGAGTATATAAAATATTTGAAATTCGTAATTGTACTGGTCTACCGGGGAAAAAATTAAACAGACAGCGGTGTATAATGTGGGTTTGATTACCGGCTTTCGGTTTCGAACCATTCCAACGTTTCGGAAAACACTGGTTTCCTGACCGAGGTTTCATCCCGAGGCCTCCCGTATACGAAGCAGGTGCGCTGACCCCAATAGGAGTATTAGTTCACATATTTACCAGTAGAGAGGGCCGCCTGACGACACAGAAGATGGGTTATTCCATATATCGATGTATCTAGGCAATTCTCCTCCTCCCCCCTCCCCAAAAAAGAGAAAATATACTTTTCTGGTGCGAACCCCTTGTTAACAGATTGGCAGCACACCCGTAGAGTGAACAGTTTTTTTATTAAATAAGAACTGTTTAAATATCAAGGAATAGAATGAGGCAACTAAAACCGAATTATAAATCCAGTAGCTACCATTACCACCATAAAATAATGAATTACTGTACCCTATCAATATTATTCGTTAGTCTAATCGGAATCTCATTTGTATTGGCAGCATGTAGCACTGGATGCTGAAATAAACAATTTGCCCATCGAAGTCTTCTGCGCGAATATTCCGTGTGACTTTGTAAGTAGTTGCCAATGTTTCGCCTCCATTTTCAGGGTAATATCATTCATTTAATTTCAGTTCCACCCCTGCGTGATAAAGATATCAGATTTCTTCAGCTAACAACACTTTGGTTCTTGCTTAGTTACATTTAAATTTTTTGGGCATTGCAAGCTGTTGTTGGTTCTCCAAATTCACCTCACATTCTAAGAACGTAAAGTCGTTTGTTTGTTAGTCTCTTTTTTCTGTTTTATTTTCCTTTATCACCGATATCGGAACATTAACAGTAGATATGCGTTATTCTACATTATACCGAGGTATATGTAGGATCTACCATGATTTGAAATCATGAATTCAGATATTTTTCATCCTTTGCCATAATTAGAACATTCATGTTTCATCAGACATCTATCTTGAGAGTCTATTCAGACTACTGTTTCTTCGTATATTTTTTACAATCTATCATTTGTTATCAGAATATAATTTAATCTAAATGACCGCATTAGCCGGCGAAGATCCGTTGAATAAACAATAAATAAACCATGGGACGAAAATAAAGTTTATGTTGTCATAAAACTTGTCTGGTCTTTATAGCCAATCCCCTAGTGCATCGTATAATTGATTTATATACTGCGTCATAGGTCGCTCATTTAGATCTCTGTGCGAAGCTGTCGAGAAGACTCGAAGCGTCTGTCCGGCGATTGACCGGGCCTAAGCCGTTCTTTGGCGACGTAACATGAACCCGAAATCCGCAATATCTATTAGACATGGACCCTGCTCATCACGCAAAGTGGTTCGATTGAAATATATGTCATAATTTACCTGGGTGGACGTTGAGTAACCACGCAGACCTCAGGATAACCTTTACCTTGGGGCGTGAATTGAATATCGGGTCTTCCAGATACTGAGCAGAAGTTACGACCACTAAAACCTCAATGTTCGCACTGGGAACTAAAGTTTCTGTTATCATGTTACCTCTGATGTTGTGTGCCACGGTTCCTTTCACTTGTAAAATATATATGTTACCGGCAATGTATAGAATGCCTGAAGTCAGTAGACAAAGTATGAAATAAATCGTAATTTTAATATTGTTTGGTTGTGCAAATTAAAATTGATCAAAGTCGATTGGGTAAGCTGTCAAGATGGAGGTTGTGCAAGATGGTCGCGAAAACACCAAGCTACTAAATCTGAACATAACAAAAGTTTTAATAATTAAAAAAATGTTTTATATACTAACCTAACCTAACAAACGTTTTGAGAATTAAAATAATTGTTTTATGTTGTTTTTGCAAATATAAAAGATAAAATAAAACTGTATAAATCGTATTATAGAAACTTCTTTA